CCGCCTGACGCGGAGGGGCCGGCGAGGGCCGGGATTTTCTGGGCTGACCGCGCTCACTGCCGGCCCCTCTGAGCTCCAGCCACCGGCGGCCCCTGCTTCCGCGGCTCCCCAAGGCGAGGCTGGACCAACCGGGCAGCGCCCGGAGGGTCCTCTGGGGAGGGCCGCTCACAGCTGCCCCAGACTCTGGCCTGAGCCCCTCCCGGCCCAGACCACCTGGTGCTCAGGGCACTCGGCAGCCACCAGGCCGGGCGGGCAGTGCTGGCCCCGGTGGCCGCGGCCCTCAACTTGAGCAGCAAGAGCAGCTGAGCGGGTCTGAGCTCCCTCCCGGGCCCCAGGTCGGCCGTCCCCATGCGCCCAGAACGTCGCTGTGCCCGCCAGTGGCCGGGCTTCCCGGCGCCCCTGTGGTCAGCGGCTGTCGCTCCTGGCTGGGGCTCCTTGCTCGTGGTCCCCTGGGCCACGGTTCCCCGCCCTGAGGGTTCTGTCCGGAGGCCCTGGGCTGCCTGGGACAGCGTTCAGCTGCAGGGCAGCCAGCCTGTCCCGGTACCTCGGGGGCGGCGGCCGGCCTGGCCCCCCGCGGCACACTCCCCACCCCCCACCCCCGCTGTCGCTAGTGCCAGTAAAGCAGAGGCGGGCGCTGCCCCGGGCCTTATGCCGGACAGCGGGCCTGGGCAGGGCGGCAGCCACTGGACGCTCTCAAGTCTGGCTCCTTCCAGGGGGTACAGGAGGGCAGGTGAGCCCTGGACACGGCCTCCAGGCAGCGGGCCTCCCTCTCTTGGGGTGGAGCTGCGTGCCGGCCCTGGCAGTTCTGCTGCCCTTCACGTGGGCCTCCCCGCCCGGTGGACACGCCTGCCGGCGCCTACCGCCCGCTGGTCCCCGAGCGCTCCTGGGTTTTCCCATGGCGGCCATTCTGGTGGACAGAGTTTGTGATGACGTGAGGCCAAGGTCCCGCTCCGCGTCCTCCCGGTGGGTCCTCCTGGGCGGGGCTCGGCCTCCCCACCTGCTGGCCTGTGGCTGAGTGGGCCGCCCTCCGGCCACTTGTCTGTGGGGACCTTGCGTTGTGGGTATGGGCTAGCCACTTTTTCTCTCTAATGTGAAACGAAACTTTACTGACATATTTAAAATTAAATTTATTTTATATTTCAGGATTTATTTATTTTCTCATGCAAGAGCGGGGGCACAAGCCAGCGGTGTGGGGGTGAGAGGACCCCCCAGAGACAGAGTGGGGAGCAGAGCAGGGAACTGAAACATCCACTGCTGAGGAGCTATCTGGAGACAGGAAGGTCTGCTGGCCCCTGGGGTCACTCCGTCCCCCGGGGTGGGGTCAGGCTGCTCTCACCTTCCTGGTGCAGCGCTTTAACCCCTTGTACCACCACCAAGGCGCCTGGCCCTCTGGCCTGTACCCCAGTTCTCGAGTGCATAAACAAAGCCTTAAGAAAAGGACTTCAAACAAATCAGAAGGCGAGACTCCTTGTGTCCAGTTGCTCTCCCGCGCCGAGCGCGCCCCCTGCTGCCCACCAGAGAGCGGGCTCGGCTGCGGCCCCAGGGCAGGCGCTGCCCCTCCGCGCGGCCGGGCCGAGCCCCCGGGTTGAGATGCCCGAGGCCGGCGCCGCGCTCCTGGGCCGCAGCCCCGGCCATGGCCTTCCGCTGCGGTCGGTCGGGGCTGTCGCGGTAGCGGCGCTTTCCCAGCTCGCTGGCGCCGACGGCTCCATGCCGCTGGCCCTCGCTACCTCCGTTTCTGCTGCCCCGTGGTCCCGGGTCCCCGCGACCTAAATTCAGGGGCGTCGCACAACGTCCCTGAGCCCCGCGGGCCTCCGCACCCTCGTCCCTGAGGGCGGCCCCGCCGGCGGAGAGCGGCAGGAGG